GTCCCCTGCCATGAAGGCCTTGGCACGCAAGTAATGGTGAAGAGCTGCAACTGGACACAAAACATTATGCACGCCCAGCTGAACCAACCAAACCTCAACAAGGACCCCCCAACAGAACCAACCCAAGGACACCTCTGAAAACCAGCAGCCTCATTCTTCATCAGAAAAGAAGGAGATGGCTGCAAAGAAACAACCCGACCACCGGGACCAAACGAGCAGAAACCCCTGCGACAGAGAAGAGCATGAAGCTCCTCGACCGACCCACAGAGGCCAATGCCAACAAGAAAAGAGCCTTAGAAAAGCATTCCTAAACCGAAGGGGTCACCACAAACCGAGGAAAACAGAGAAAAAAAGAACACCCAGTCTAAAGACCTGGTCTTTTTTTGCTAGTTCGGCTTTCGGTTTGCAATTTTTAACCAGCTGTAGTTTGTTTCGGAATTCCTATCTTTCTGGGTGCCTGACCTGGTAGATGACAAAGACTGCTTCCAATTACACGGGGGTGTCTATAGGGTCATTGCTCCTCATGCCTCTCTGAGGGGGGCCAGGTTCTGGTGCTGGTCCCCAGTAAGCTTAGAACTCCATCGATTGACTGTTGTCACGGTCTAATATATACAACATCAGCCCGGGATTCTGGGGAGCTGAAGGGGGTCTCCACAGAAACAGTATGTGTTATTGTTCAAAGAATATAGCATTTAACACTTTCAGCCTCACGGCGAAGGTAAAAAAAAAAGCGGTATGTGCTCACGGCGTTTTGCCGCGTAAGCGTAAAAACAAAAATGTGTATACTCTTTTTACTCTCCTGACCTTAGTTCTCGAGCTACGTATTTCATTTTGGTACCAACGTGTTCGCAATAAAATTCTCTAGAAGAACATCAGTAAAAAAAGTCACGAAACGTATAGGGATACCAGCACCAAATAAATAACTACGTAGATGACTCGCCGTGAGCGCCCAACAGCAACAAAATGTTTTTACTCTTGGGATTGTTATCACCTCCACACTTGTCCTACAGCGTTAATTTTATCAATGGTATCAACACGGTGATATGAATATAAGCGTAATGATTGCGGCCCGCCCGCAAGAGTGTGGGAAGTGGTGAAATTGTTACCCGGTATCGGTGACGGGACGACACACGGCGTTTTGAAAGTTTATACTTATTTCACTCTCATGACATTATTATTCTATGTACGTCATTCATTTTTGTGTCAATGTGTTCGCAATAGAATGTTCTATGAGCCCGTAGGTAAAAAAGATCAACAAAGCGTAAGATAGAATAGCGCCAAATATAAAACAACGCTGGAACATATCAGTGAGCGTCAAACACACACGAAATGTTTTTACTTTTGTTATGTTTGTGAACCTTTCATGAACTTATTGTACCATGCAGCCTATTGGTGAGAAAGAGAGCCTCATGGCGCGCAGTTTGAAACAAACCCAAAGTAAATCGGATAAAAATTGAATTTTATACAAATATTTTAAAAGAGGACATAAATTTATGTCCACTATGCGGGAGCGGGTAGGCGAAACAGGACGCCGCGAGGAGTCCTCATCCTCAGAAAGTGTTAACACTGTCACTGATACAGTGACAAGAATATATCTGTGTGTACCAATATTCTATACATTCTATAATACAATAAGTATTGGTGACAGCCCATAACATTACACTTGAAAAATCCATGGTAAAAATATTCAAAATACAAAGAAAATATATATTCATGAAAAATATGCGTGACTAGGAAGAACTCTGATAACCAGTTATAAGATTATTACACTCACCAGAAATGCTCAGTGCATTTCTGGTGAGTGTAATATTTCGCATTTCTGGGTTCAGGGACTGAGCTAGTCCCTGAACCCCGGATGAATCGGGACATGCCAATAAGCGTCCCAGAGGTCCAGGGACACCATCCAAGAGAGCGCAGGGAAAGAGGCCTGCCCCGCCAGCCTCAAACTCCCCGAAGCCTCAGGCAAAAGTAAAGGACCCGAAACGCCCACAAATCGTGGGATCAGGCGTAAGTGAACAGTGCAAGCCTGCCCCCTCCCATCGCCCCGTCAATGGGGCGAACCGCGAAAGGGCCAGCGCCCCTTACGAGACCCCGAACTTCGCACAGAGCGAACACCACGCCAACCAGACGAAAGTGGGTCTGAAGGCGGGGCCGGACCCGAACCTGGCACCAGTGGCCTACCACGACGAGGGGAACCCCGAGCCCTGACACGACCCCTCCAGGAAGGCCCTCCCGGGACCCCTGGACAACCAACAAGTCAGACATAGGACGACAACTAACCGAAGCAGCCTGCAAATACTGCGCCACGGCAGAATCCGCAAAAAGCAGAGGACAAAACGGAGAGGACATCCCAAGAGCCAGGGCCCAGGCCGATTCCAGAGAGGATGCAAGCACCGCTTGCCGACACGCGAGCCGGGAAGCATAGAACAGCGAAACTGCATTCTGCAGGATCGGCACAAAGAGCTTCAATAAGCAGCCGCTGAGCCCAAGGCAGCGGACCCCAGGAACATCCCCAAGTGTCCCCACATCCTCCACAAGCCAGTCCAAAGACAACTCCAGGAGGGAAAAGAAAGTCAAGGCCGAAACCAAGAGGCCACGGGCGAGCAAGTCCTCAGCAACCTGCGCAGCCGAAAGGGAGGGAACCTGCACATGGAACTGCACAACACCAACATCCCGGGAAAGGGCAAGGGAAAACAAGCACTCATTGAGGTGCTCAAGGTCGCCCCCAGGAAAATCTGAACCACCGTCGAAGCCTCGCGCCACTCAAGCGTGCAGGAACGACAAAAGAAATGCCAAGCCTCCAAAGCAAACACAGGACAGTCCGCCAACCAGGACGACTCCGGAACCTCGTAATGGACCCAGAAAGGGAACGACGTCCCAAACCTGAAAGAAGATGGATCCATAACCGAGGCATAATCCGGGTCGCGCTAGAGGTAAGCTGCTAGAGCTACCTGTACCGCAGACAGTTGGATGCAGGAAGCCGAAAACCTCCGGAAGGACGGAACCAAACCCGGGGAGGGGTAGATACCAAATCCAATTCGTACGCAGAGGGGGGAAAAGAGAATCCCACTCTTTGTAACAGTAAGCCTCAGAGGGCAGAAAAACCCAGGCGGGGTCCAACAGGGCCCAAGTCCCCGAAGTCTACCCCTCCCCAGCCCCAAGATCCTTCACCGCAGGATCCGAGGCCGAGTCATCCCCCAAAGCACCGGCCTCAAAAGAAAAGGCCGGCACAGCCGCGTAAGCCGCTGAAAATCACTGGAGCAAGAGCAACGACCTTCGCCTCTAACATCAGCCTTAGAAATGAGGGGTAGATAGCCGGCGCGAGGGTCTGGGGCTCCCCCCTTGGCCCCTCCCGGGGAGGGGGAAGCTGCGCAGACTGCGGCGCGGCGACGTGTGACATCATGCTCGTTTGCTTGTTTCCTTTTGGGGAGTTCTATCTACTTGTTCGGCTTTTGGTAGCAATTTTCACCAGAATAGGGCTTTGTTTTGGGACGCTTACCTTTCTGGGTGCCTGACCCGATCGATTGCAGACATAGAATGCTTCCAACCACACAGGGGTTTCTATAGACCATTGCTCCCCTTGCCTCTCTGAGGGGGCCAGGTTCTGGCTCGTGGTCCCTGGTAGGCCCACAGAACTCCATACACATGACTGATGCCAAAGTCTGACATTAGCTTATCAGCCATGGATAGCTCCGGGGAGCCGTAGGGGCTTCCCTGAGAAAAACACATTTCATATGGAATCTATTCTCTAGTAAATTCAATTGCAAACATGTTGACACCATATATTCTTATAACTCAAAACCTAATGAGAAAATATATATATAAAAAAAAATAAACATTTTTGGCGTTGCCGAGTGGAACATTGAGATGTCCGGAATACTGTAGTTTGAGCCGGGAACGTGCTGACAGTTCAGAATGTTAAAGCATTCAAACATTAAAGCATGTTTGTGACAGTGCTTCATCAACAAACAGAGTGCCAAAAACACATACATTTCCGCCACTGTGGTATTCTTCCAACGCTGCAGTCGTGAAAATTCTGTGATTTCCCTCTCAATCAGGTAAGCAGCATGCAGGTTCGTTTGGTGTACAATGTATTCCATGAGTGGTTCATCATAGAATGCTGTAAAATATTCCATCTCAGCCATGTCCTCACCTTGATTAGGGAAAAGGTTTGTAATCCCTACATCTTTATCGTCAAAGTGAGGAATATTAGGAATAAAATCGTCACCATCACTCCACTCAAGTACACCAGGCGTCCTGCGAGATGCAGAGGAAAGACGGTGAGGAAGCGATGCATACCGGCGACCAGGAGCTGAATACCGTCTGCGAGAAGCACGGCGGCTACGTGCACGTGAGGTGGGTGCACGTGAGGTGGGTGCATTTAGTGCCATGCGGTGGCGCTTGGCTGGGCGAGATGCTGCTGACGCGACAATTTCTCGCCCAGTTACACCACTGGTACCAGCCACAGGCTCAATAAAACTTTGATCTGAGTCACTAAACCCAGAAAAGGAGTCACCTCCCTCTAACTCGTCACCCTCAAACAGAAAATATCCACAGGAACTGTGAGGTCGTGGTAGAATTGGAGTAGAAAATGGGCGAGGAGGCATGGGAGAGCGTATAGGCCTCGCCATGGCATGGCGGTCATTTTCACTTTCACTGCTGCTGCTACTATCTCCCGACAACTGTGTATAATCCTCATCGTTGTCTGAATCGTCAAACACACTTTCTTCACCTTCAGAGAATAATTCGTGGGCTATTTGCTCTGGGGTGAGGGACTGAGTGATGCGTGCTCGTGAGGCGTTTGACCGTGCGCTCGCCATGGTGACTCTCGCTAAACTGAGGCCTCCCATGCCATCGGAGCGTGAGCTGGATTTTTTTTCAAAATGGCCGCTGTTTACTAGAGCCCCTGGGCAGCATATGGGACCCCCAGCTACACCGCTTAAAGGATACTGTACAGTACTTGGAAACATGCAACATGAAGCATAATACAACTAACTGACCTGTAAGTAGTGGTGGGGATTTGACAAAGCTGTAGTGAGAGCAGCTCTTGGCATGCCCACCAGATGTTGCTTCACTGACGACGAAGATTCAAAGAAGAGTATCTCGTGAAGCGGCTGTTTATTTACAGGTTGTAAGTGTAGTTCAAAAACATTTGACAGCAGTTGTAATACTTCTGAACGTAGCAGCTCATAAGCATTTGGTCTCTTGTTTTTCTTCTTTGCAATTTCAAGTAATTTCTGAGAAAAAATAGCATGAAAAAATAACACGGACATAGTTTTTTTGTTTAGAATTCATAATTAAGCAATATTTTTAATACAAGATACAAAATGCCACTCTGGTTGAGACCTGGTGGTTCCCTGAAGCTATCTTGCTGATATAGCTACCACCTACTAAGTCACATCAGCTGTGAAGCTCTGTTGGCATACCAGAACCCAGAGCCAGAACCTGGCCCCCCACACAGAGGCGGAGAGCAGGTGACACTCCGCCACCCCCACTGGGAAATAATTAAGAGGCGGAAGCAGGTGACAGTGAACAAACCCAGAGCCAGAACCTACAGACTACTGCTGGGAAATTTAAGAAAGCCAGTGAAAAATGACTACTGCTGGGTTTAAAGCCAAAGCCTCAAAACTACCTAACGAACTTCCACATACAAGGTAACCAAACGAGTGAATCTCTCGAAACTAGCATGAACTCGTTAGCACCAACTCCTCCCATCCCCATGCCAGTTGGGGGGATAGAAAGTTGGAGCTCCAAGTTCCTGCTAGCTCTCCACACCAACTGTGGAGCAAATGTGCAGAACCAACCAACCAACAACCAGGACGGGAGGGAGAGGGCAATCAGGGAGCCACCGGGGCCCTCCCAGGAGGAGGTTTTTCTTTATATTTAATACTGCTTTTCTGGAGGGAGCCCCTTGTGGATCCCTGAAGCTAATTACCCAAGGAGAAGACAGACAAGGGTTATTATGGAGAAGAAACTGAAAACAGTCAAGACGAAGACGAGACACTTGGCCGAGAGGAATGACCCAAAGCGACGCGACGCATGCATGACAAGGCCTGGAAACATTAATTAACACCAAACCATCAGGATCCTGTTAGACCACCAAAACCCCCCAGCCAGAATAACAGCCCAGGACATATTAGCAAAAACAGCTACATGAGCAGCAAATTTACAAATAACATGGGCAGGCTGGCTGGATTTGATGACACTGTAGACGACCTGAGAAACACGATCCTTGGAACAGGGGACCAAGGAAACGGGATCAACCTACAAAGCATCCACCAAGTCAGAATTGGTGGCATGAAGATAATGGTTGAGAGCCACCACTTGGCACAGCACATGAAGCAACCCCTGCCAACCAACCAAGCATCAATGACCAAAGGACCACTCTGAAATTCCAGTGACCTACGAGGGCCAAAAGAATGAAAACCACGCCTCCGAAGAAGAGCATGCAGCTCCCCTACCCTACAACTGGAGTCGAGTGCCAATAAGAAAACCATTTTAGCAGAAGAATTATAAACTGAAGGGAATGCAGTAAACTGAGAAAAGAGGCAAGAGACCTGGAAGGGAGAGAAGCCCGACATACCACACTTCAAAGGGGAAGGAAGAAAAGACACGGAGGGAGCAAATGTGGATTTCACTAACATTTCCAATTCCAGGTTGCTAAAAACAAGATGGGGCCAACTCTGGAACATCCAACCAGGCACAAAGCCATGAGTGCTGAAGGCAGGCAAAATGAACCCACAAGGTGGCAGCTGCTTGATAAGCTTGCCGTCATGTGGAGGGTCAGAGAGAAACCACATGGGGGAACAAACCCCGCAGGACTCAGGGTCGTAGGTGTCACTGACCCAATAGGCAGCACGCTGGAGGCAGAAAGAATGATCGTAGCTCCAAGGTAAAGATGACAAGAAGTCCTCAAACTCCCAAAATGCGAGAGCCTAGGATTACTAGGCCCCAAAGGGCAGACCAAACAGGACACACGGGTACTAGGAATGCTTGCCGGGAGTTAACTACGTAGACTGATACAACCTGGTTAACCCTTAACATGCTAGGGGGTATAATATCCTTTCTTCCCCACAGGCGCATGTAATTTTGAAAAAAAAATTTTTTTTTTTCCTAACCTGTTAATTTGTGTTCACTGATCACGGGAAAAATAATAAAAAAATCGTAAGTGGCATATATTGCCCGCTATAGGGCGGGGAAGTCTGGCAAAAAATATGCGCTCACTCAGCGTGTGTCCCAGGCGGTCTGTTGCTCGCCAGCTGTCAGGCCGGAGTTGCCACAAAGAGATAATTACCTAATTATTTCAATGTCTCTGATTTTTCATAGTTTTTTTGCAGTAATATTATTCAATAGTGTGTAGTTTGATATATTTATATAATAAAATGAGTGAATCATCGCTGTACAGTACTCAAAAATACAGTGTGCATATTGTTGTTTCAATTATGTTCATCAATCAGTGAACAAATACTTTGTCGGTTATTACACTATAAGCACAGGCTATATATAAGTATCTGCATGTTTTGTTCACTATAACGAACCACTAAGTAGCTATTATGAGTCAAAAAGTAACGAGGAGTGACCGCCGTGTACCAGCCAGCCACTCCCGCCCTCCCTAAAGTCATCTGACTCACCCACATTCTCCTCCCACAATACAGTACTGTTTTTGCTATAATTCACTATATACAGATGTTATATATAAGTATCTACTGTACATGTTTTGTTCACCATAACTGTACATCTAAGCTTGTATGGTGAGTAAAGATACAAAGACGTAGGACCTCACACAGTCAGCTGATGGCTGCCGCCCTCAAGGCCAGACGCACTAATATTTCTCCTCCAACAATACTGTGTGGTGTTATTACGCTATATACACACATTATATATAAATATCTACCTGTTTTATTCACCATACTTGTACAAATAAACTGGTATGGTGCCCAAAGACCATCGTGGTAACCAGTAAACAACACTGTCGTCTGCACAGTGGTGTCGTGCAGACGATGCCACCGCCCTCACCAAAATGGCGGCTCCAAACCTTCTCTTGCTGTTTATACCCTCTATACACACGTTATATATATGTATCTACATTTGTGTTCACTATAGCAAACCACTAAGCTGGTATGGTGAGTGCAGTCAATAAAAGGTGGCCACACACAGTCAGAAGACATCGCCACCACCCTCCCACCACCCTCCCACAGCATTACTCCTCCCTCCATGGCGCACAGCGCTAAATATCACCACAATCCTGCTATTATCAGAACCCTGGTCAGTTTTATCACAGTCAGGGGTCTTTTGTAATAATATCATCGCTACATAATAGCATGAACAAGTATATTTTGGCATTTTTAGGAGATGCTGTGGTCACAAGCTGAACAGCAGTGCTGTTAGCTCATGCTGCGTGCATCAGGCTTGGTTGTTCACTCAATACTGAGGCCAATAACACCCGGGAGTTTGGCCCACGATTTTTTTTTTAAATGGCGTCTGTTTACAAGAGCCCTGATGAAGGTGTGGTGAACCCCGTGTATCCGCGGGCCATTTAAATCTTGCGTAGTACTCCAACACGTCATATGACGTGATGCGCAGTTGACTGGAACAACGTCCAACACATCATATGACGTGATGCGCACTTTAAGAGTTAATGTGGCCATTAAGGCCCATGTCAGAGTGCTGTGTAAAACAAATGCACAAACAGCCTGTGTACCTCAACGAGGCAAAATGTTTGCCGAGGTAAGGCCCCAACTCCGGTGGCCTGGTCTCTAAAAGAGCAAACTCCCAAACACCCAGAGAAGAGAACTCTCTAAGTACAGGGGCAGTGCTAGAGCATACAGGAAAGGGAGCCCTGAGCACATGCAGCTCTAAGGACCCAATGAGCCAGGTCCACACAGCACATACCAGACAGAAAACACTCATGAAACTAATTAAAATATGGAATAACATCAAGCGAATGATCCCTGATGGACAAATTCAAAGGAAGGCTGGCATTTAGCTTAGAAGAAGCAGGACCCATCCAGCTGATAAAACACTCAGGATGTGTTTGTTAATTAACACTATCGCTCTCTTTGGACACCCCTCGTGTCCACTTTTTTTTTCTCTCGTGTCCTAGCTTTGGACACTGCTCGTGTCCAATACAAAAAATATTTGTAAAGCTACCACCAGTACCAAAGAGGAGGAAACTGAAACCGAAGGGGCTACCACAAACTGAGGGGAAGAGAAGAAGGCACCCTGAACAAGGACCAGGATGGCTCAGGCGACTCATGAGCAGGCCGGAGGGGAAACAAAACACGAGAAACGTAATAAACGTCATACAGTCTCCAAGACGAAGCTCGCAGGTGGGACACCGCAACAAAGCCACCTGAACACCATAGAGATGGCGATACCTGCGTCAAAATACCAGACGCGAAGAGCCAAAGAGAAGGCCGAACCAGTCACGGACAGGACCGATTCGGCCTGCTGAAAGAGGCGAAGCCTCAGGAAAAACGCCCGGGTACGGACACCTATCAAGCAGCGTCTGAAAAAAGGCCGGGCCGGCCACAGTGGAACCATAAGGACTGTTCTCGTGGGAATGGGCTGCAACTGAGCCAGAACCCGAAGCAACAGCTGGACCGGGAGAAGAGGTACAGGTACCCCCCACCTCGACCAGGCCTGCCGAAAGCCTCCACCGTGAAGCCTCGCAGGTGGGAAGGGCGCCACAAAACGGGCGACGCCTAGACCACGCCGACCCGAAGACGTCCATGGCCAGAGTCCATAAGCCCAACAGAGCCAACAAAACGAATCGGCGACGACTGGCCAACCCACGAAGAGGAATGAACCGAGACAGCTGTCCACCAGGACGCAGGACACACCCCGGACACGAACCACACGTTAACCAAACCCCCTGTGGTTCCGGCAAGAACCACCGAGAACAGTCCAAACAGAGCTGAATGGTAGAGTACCTAGTGACCCAAACCCTCCGAAGCGCAAACCAGACAGCCATGAACACCTGAACCGGGCTGTGAGCCCGACGGACAGACAGACTCCATCAACCTCGGCCGACCTGGTGAGCACTGGTCACAAAGCCCCAGCCGAGAGACGACCCGTCCGTGAACACATCGAGCGAAGGCTCGGGGAGCCGCCAAGGCACGGAACCCCGAAAACCCCAAAGAGGAAGCTGGTGACGCAGCACCAACACCAGATCCCCAGAGGAACCCAAGGAATGCAAGAGGCGGAAGTGGAGTCTCCGTAGGAACCAACCGACGCC